GGCTATGTAAGATCGGTAAGATGGGCATCCCTGTACTACGACTTCAATCAGATCGAGCCAAAGAACTGCTAAGTCGGCAGGTGAAAAAGTGGTGTGCTACCATGGGCATACTACAAACGTTCACAGCAGGTGATGATCCTGCCTCAAATGGTCACATTGGGTCTGAAGTCAACCAGTTGAAACGTAAGACCAGGGTCAAACTGGCAGAAACCGGATGTGGTAGTGACCAATGGCCCATGGCTACGAGGCATGGTGCCGAAGAGCGAAAGCGGGAGCAAATGGAAGTGTTGGGGGACAACGCCGTGGTCTATGTCAAGATGAAGAAGTGGCACAAGGAAGGAGGCTTGGCACCATCTTTTGCCAAGGGACGGATTTTGCGTTCTTGTCCACTCATGAACGATGGGTGGGTGGTTGAACTCACGGACGGGAAGATCCTACATGTTCGTGAAGCTGTAAAACCCAACTTGAAGATGGTGGGGGACCTATGGCGGCATTGGCGCTTGAAGAGGAACCAAACCCGGGGAAACCTACACGCAGGATGGTGGGCAAACAACCTCCCATCCAGGAACCACAAATTCCGGGACCACGTACACGCGGGCTCCGCTCCAACAACGGGGGGTTCTTCTTCGTCGACTTCGCGCCGGGCAACTGCGGGCAGTGTTGTGGATCCGTCGTTGGAGCCGAACCAAAAGGAGTCAGAGAAGGACAACCTATGGCAGGATGATCCATTTAGTTTTCCAAGGGTCTCAACGGCGGCTTCAGCAACAGGAGCTAGGGCTATGAGGATTGTGGGTCCGGGGGAGGTAGAAAGAGAGGGCGCTCGGTCTGGGAAGATCAACATGAAGTGATCCAGGAGCAACTCCAACAATGGCTGGACTATGTGCCTGAAGATGAAGACCAGGGCAGAGGGGGGCATTTTGGAGCACCTTCTGGGTTGGCGTGATGAAGTTGTCGTGTCTCACCTTTGATGCGCCCGCAGCAATTTCCATGCCGCGATTTGCACTTGTGATTCCACTGCCTTCGCCACTTTGTGTCACCATATCGATCCCTCCATCCTCCGGCGAAGGAATCGAAACCTACCATTGGCTCAAATCCATAGTCCGTCAACATCTACCACACGCCATCCCTCTCCATCTACCCACATGCAAGAATGCGAGAAGCAGCCCGCAACACTCTCCGCAGCCAACTCCACAATCACCGCCGTTGGGAAGAACGCGTCCTCGTACCTGCCAACCGCATGGACCTCCCATGTGCTTGTGATCACCTGCGCACATTACTCCACCGCAACCACCCAACCATCGACGGCCACTATATCCTCACACTTGACCATATTCAGCTACCTCCTCACCTTCGCATTTTCTTTGAAGCCAACATGAACGGCGCTTTCTACTTTCTACCCTACCAAAGCCAGATACTACCTCACCTTCCAAACAGCCTTTCGGAAATGGCTCCGCGTTCAGGGATCAACTCTGCGACACATTTCTCCACCAGCAATAATGGCAAGTACATACCCGCCATCTCAAGCAACGACCACGTTTCACCGCCCGACTTATTCGACAACTTCAGGCGACGAAGTGGTCCTACATCACGCGGACCACGAGCTTCAGCAGCTCCGTATTTTCAGCCCTCAGCAGTACTTCCTCGGCGCCCTCAACACCTGGCGCGCGCCGGAGCTCTTCAGACCCATGCCACACATCACCCCACTCAACATCAACGACGACCTCCTCGCCGCAATCCCCACGACCCTTCGATAGGTGTGTGTGTTTGTGTGCGTGCGCGTGTGCGTCCTTACATGTCTCCCCACCTGTCTTCCGACTTTTCGGCTTCTGTGCTTTGTCCTTTGTTTGCCGCTGCTTCCTAGTCTCCCCACAATTGCGCATGCTGCCGTTTCTTGCTCAACTGCAGAAGCCATGTTCGAGACTTGCCTGAACCTAGCATACTATCGCGCACATCATCGCCACAAAGATGAGCTACGAGACGCAGGACCTGTGGCAACTCCAAGACGCACTTGGCGGTTACTTGGGAACCAGACAAAACTCAGTCCGACCGACAGGAAGCCACCGAAGATGCAGAAAGTCCTAGGGCTGTTGACTGCGAAGCCATGGCGCCGACCAACCAATTCATTTTGCTCTTCCAGATGCGTTAGACTGGCATCCTCCCTCAACTACTGATGACTTCAATGACTTGGAAGAAGGAACAGGCCAACACCAAGAACTCCAAGCAGCTAAGAGCCGTACTATTCCAACGAGTCTGCCAACCCCCCAATGCTCAAGATTGCCAAGCTTTCACAGGCCAATGGCCATTTCTTCAGTGGTGCACCAAGAGCAAGACCCTCAAGATCACCACAAAAGCGGGCGATCTCCATGTTCAAGAGGCAACAGCACTTGGAGGAGCCAGTGGAGGCATCTCAGATGATCGAACATCCATGACGTCAGTGTGAAGAAAGTCAGACTGTCTGACTTTGAGGAAATCAGGACTTCCACACGATTCCAAGACGTGGGTAGTTCAAACGGAATGGGTCAAGACGCAGGCAGATCAGTGGACTATCACGACCAAAAGCAGTCACCATGCCCACATATAATTGCCATTGATCCAAAAACTGTTGCAAGGTAACTTTTTCCTGGTGTTCTTCGTCTGGGAGTGAGGTCTGGCATTGTGAGATAGCATGGACACCGGCCCCCACAGACACCTGATGTTTGACCTCAGTGGAAGTATTCCTGAGGCTCTCCTGGAGCCATCCCTCCCAGACCCAATCACTGTTGAGCTGGAAGAGGACACTATCTCTGGGAGTGGAGGAAAGGGCCAATGCCACTTGGTTCCCCAGCGTCCCCGCCTCATCAGCACGCCCTAGCTGCAGCTTCTCAAGATTGCGCGTTGTACCAAAGAGCGATGACGCAGGAAGGCGCCGGCCAAAGCAAAAGTTGGCAACTGTGGAGCGCTGATGGGTGGGTGCCCCACCCTTTCCCCACCACCCAGTGGGCTTGGTATCGCAAAAGAATCGTGGCAGGGAAACTGAACCAACATCCCTGTCCACAAATCTCGGTATTTGCCAGGCAGGTGCTGTATGGTTTGTGTTTCGCGCTCACATGTTCGGCCAAGGCACCCAAGCTGAGATAAACGAGTGGAGAAGTACTCCACGAGCTCAGTGAGCTGGAACACGCAAAATACCAGATCGTGCGCAGATAATTTTTCCTTTGAAAGCCTTTGGTGTGAATTCCCTCTGAAGCTGGTTTTGAGGACACCATCGTGAATGGCGACAAAGCTTTGCTTAGAATGATGAAGTGTGTAAAGGCCATATGGCCGTAATGGCAGGTGGACGACCTCCATGGGCGAAGTTCCATGTAGCCCCCCCATAGCTCTGTTACCTCAGAGACGAGCGACGAAAGATAGCGAAAGTGAAAAGTTGAAGTCTTCCCATTTGTCCCCCTACATGTCTGCCGTCTTGTTTGCTTCTGTGACTTGCACTTTGTCTGCTTCTGTTTCTTTGTCTTCCCACTTGTCTCCTTGTATGCATGTCTCCCCACTTCCCACTTCTCTCCCAGCTTGTCTTCCTGTGTGATCGGCGTTTTGCGCTGCCTTGTCTCCTTACTTGCTTCTGCATTCGTATGTCTGCGTGATCGGTTGTTTGCCTGCCTAATTGGCGTGTTGTCTTCTTCTGCTGCTGCTACTGCCTTGTCTCCTTACTTGTTTCCTCGCTTCTCTAGCTTTAACGGGCTACTTTCTGTATTGTTGTCTCAGTGTAATTGGCCACAAACTTGTGTAGTACAGTTACGACATGTTACGACTCATGGCGTCTCATGGTGAAGGCGGTTTGCTTGTTGAATCCACCGTTAGTTATCATAGGAATCGAGTGGGGCCGGGTATAGATTAGGACGTCGAACTGTTGGAACTTGGTTACCCCGGTCACTCGTTGAGCCGTTTGAAGTATGAACCTTGGCGTAAACAAAACAGTCACGTTTTCTAAGAGGTATATTTATATCGTGAACGGACTGTCCGAGTTGGATGAATCCCATAGCCACGAACAGAAGTCGTTGGACGTGTGTAGGGTAAATGAACCCGGAAACCAAATTTGTTGATCATGCAGGGCCACCAGGAAGAAAAATCGAAACCTTTGTAAACGCAATTTTTTTTCGGCCTCTAGACTCTATACTATTTCAACCAATCCTGGGAAGAACGCTACAAACATATCTGTATAAATATGTGGTGTCTTGAACAACCCACCCGGACAAACATATCAAAACCGTTCAATACCCATACGATTGCTAACGCCGGTGTTGCCTTATATGCGTGCGTGTTGGTTGCAGGCCTGGGTGGCCAACTTCTCTCCATGTGACGGTTTGAGATGCCGGCGGACATGGGCATCTAAACCTCTTGTATGTCTAAGTTTAATTCAGCACTGGTAGCCTTGCGAATTGCTGTCCACACGTGTGTCAATCAAAGGCCTCATTTGACCAACTTGATGAGAGGCAGTTTGGTTTCTTGAGCGTATGTTAAAAAGATCGGCAGCTTGCTTGCCACACAATCCTTGAGCCAATCCATTCACCTCTACAGAGAGCCTGCTGACTTCCACGGTCTACAGGTGCATGGGAACAGTCCGTTTTGATGGGTTCCTCGTCGACAAATTAGTGGTGGTGGCATGGTTGAGGACACCAGCAGAAGGTTTGAGGCCTATGAGATCTATGAGGTGGCTTTAAAAAATCCAGCGTCAGAAGTGAAGATCTTGCACGGCCTCCGAAATTGAGATTTGGGCCTGCTCGAGCCAGGGTGTGCGCACACATATCACTGTCACATGACCACATCATACAGCAAAAACGCCCGAAGGAATGACAGTGCACGACAGATTTGGTTCGTGGGCTGGTGTCATTTCTCAACTGCTCAGTTGTAACTTGTAACTTCTGTATGTGTGGATGGGAAAGCTGACGCCAGGTGTTCATTTTGTTTACCTTACCTTATATCCTTTTCCCGTCTTCAAAGCAGATGACTCGAAACCGATGGTTGCAATGGCCCAAGATCTGGGGTGTGCACCTCAGTCTTCAGCTTGGATGGAATGCCAGCCGCGACATGAACAGTGTTTGAGAAGATGGTGGAAAAACAGCAGAGCGCGCATTAATATTACTTTCTTTCATCTTGAAGTTGGTCTAGATAAATGCAGATTTTTTTTGCCCGGCTGCGGTCTGAAGATTTTATTGCTGCCGTCCACCTTCAGGTCCAGCAGAAGGCTTCATGAACGATCGGAACATAGCACTTGCTGTTTGAAGGGTAGGGATCTCGAGCCTTCCACAGCGACTACCCAACCCATGAGGCTTGCGTGCCTGCACGAAAGGCACAAGCGCTGCACTTGAGAGATTTTCGAGCAGTATGCTTACTGGTGGGAATTTCACAATGTGCAAATGCAATCACGTGGAAATGGATGAAAATGCAATGCCAAGTGATGCCAAGGATTGAAACTTTGAATTGAACAGCCGCAGCTCGTTTAGGTCCCTAGATGTTAGAGTTCAGATGCCTTCAGCATGGTACGACCTAGTCCTGGAGCCATTGATGATTTGTTCCGACAGACACTTGGCCAAATGTAATCTGGCCTATGCTGTATGCCGCATTACGGCTCTGAAGGCAGTGTCATTGAGTTCAAACTGAAACTCCCCTCCCCCCTCCCCAATCTCCCGTGTTGGACGACGTGGAACTGGAACTGGAACTGAAACTCCCCTCCCCCCTCCCCAGTCTCCTGTGTTGGACGACGTGGAACTGGAACTGGAACTGTTCCACCCGCCCGGGGCACACTCTGCCAATAAGCTTACTGCCCCCACGCCCTTGTGCATTCACAAATGTGGTGTGTGTGTGTGTAGCTGGGATGCATATTTGCATTTGCAGTTGCAGAGTATAGGGTGCGTCTTTTTTGGGGGGGTTCACGCCCTGCCTGAGGAAAAGCCTTCAAGAAATCCATGGCATCCTGCAGAAGACACGAGCGCAGGCAGGACATATCCGCACCCACAGTGTTTGGTGTAGAGTCATTTCGAGCTTGGAAAGCCGGCTAATGTGAAAGGGTCACACACACATATATATATATATTTATAAATAAATATATATATATATCTATATATATATTTATAAATATATATATATACACAAATCATTGTATATTAAATGCACTCTATATTGTACTGAGTCTTAGTGCGATTCCCTGTATATATATATATATAGCTGGAAGCTGGAGGAGTTTTTGGCCTCTTAGAGCCTGGCCCTGATCGCAACTTCTTTTGCAGCCATCCCCAGATCCCATCACATTGCCTTGCTTGTCCAGCGCTTTGCTTTGCATTCTGAATCTTCCGAGTAGTCCACTTTGTTTACAGACGGCAACTCTTGCTCTGCATTTGCTGTCGTGTGTGGTTCAAGAAGAGATCCAATAAATATAAGAGGTAGCTGGCGCAAGAACGGATATGAAAGAACTAAAACGCTTCATTACTCAACGATCATAGGATGTAACGATCCACAATGAACAGATAAGACAATCAAACAGTTGAATCTTGCATGCCGTATGCCCCCGAAGGGCGTAAAAAACCTTCCGGTTATTTGGTGGCATTTGGGCTGATTAGCCACGACATGCTTATGGTCGAATGATGGCAGACCTCTCCCAGCCGGGGGTTTCCAAGAACAAAAGTCTTTGGCGGCTCAAGGTGGGTATTGCTACTTTGATATTCTGCTTGTCAGTGTCTGCAGTCCCCATATACAACAAGCTGGTCTTCGCTGAAGGAGTTTGTGATGGCAAAGCGTGCCTCCGAAAGTACCCCTACCCAATGGCGACAGCATTTCTTCAATTGTCCTTGGTTTCCTTGGTGTTGACCTTTGCCAACATTTGTGGGCATGTTTGGGACAGAAGTGCTGCGTCATGGATTTTTGGAGAGCACATGCAGTACAAGCTGAGACACATTGGGCCTGTTGGCATTCTTTTTGGTCTCAAGTATGGTGTCACGAACTGGGGCTTGCAAATGATCCCAGTCGGCAACTTTCCTCAACCGTAATGCCTCTCCAGGAATGGGCCATTTGTGCTCAGAAACCCTCAGAAAAAGTGATTTGGCTGTGATGTAACCAAGGTATGCACTTGCTTCTGCAGTCCACGGACATCATTTGGACTATATTTTTGGCAGAGTTTGTTAACGGAGAAGACCTTGGGCTTGTGGAAGTTCTTGCAGCGCTTTTGTCAGCGGCAGGTTCTTTTCTTATAGGCTTGCATGCAGTGGACACGATACAGGCACCTTTGGTGCCAGTTTTGGCCAACCTTTCCTGACAAGCAAGTTGTTATGTCGCATGCTGTGGTTTGTCCGTGGGGGAACGATAGGAAACACGATGATGATGATGATGATGATGATGATGATGATGATGACGATGACGATCACGATCACGATCACGATCACGACGACGACGACAGTGATGGGGATTGATAGAGCTGCAACCAAGGTGAACTTGCTGCCGCCCTTCATTTTGGCCCTTTGTGTTTCTACGTTGCGCATGGGAGCTCAAGAACTCTTTCGGCCTGATAACGAAAAGACTCAGGGAATGTCCGTGGTCGAGTTCACCGCCATAAAACTCTGTTTGAGTTCAATCACAGCCCTTTCACTGGCAATGCTGTGCGAAACCAGGCAGCACAATTGGTGGGGAGCACTCATGGAGGAGTCCAACGCTGGAATACTTTTGATGCTGCTAGGGGCCGTTTTTGTCCTAATTTTTCAGGCCAGGCCGCAAGCAAGGGTTTTGAAAGTTCAATCATTAGATTGCCACAGGTATTGGCAGAGCTTTTATTGGGCTTACATATATGTATTATGTATATAGTATATACATACACTCACTTTTTACTTTTTGCATGTTCCTTTTGAGGTGAACTTGACCTGGCTCGCTGGTCTCACATCTGTGGCAACCGTGGGTATCATTGGTGGCGTGAAGATCATTCCCCAGTGGATTATCAATGCACTTTTTCAGCAGGACGGAGAGATGCCAATGAATGTCAAGTGGCAAACTCCAATAGAGTTGGACATTGTGAATGCGAGCACGGGAAGTAAGTTCATCTTAAGTTGGGCTCAGACTTGAAGCAAATGCTGGATTTTCAACAAGACAGAAGGGGTCAACACGTTCCCTTTCCCCCATCCATCTCTTTTATGTATGACTGGGAAACATAATGAAACATCTAAAAACAGTTCCAAAAGCGCAGTCTCTCACTTCTACGCACCAAACATGGGCAGCCAGAGGTCCGGTGCAAGAACTGATTGAAAGAGCCATTCAGTGTGCGTGGTGCTCACAGTGCAGGAATCTCCGATCACCAGACATACAACAACATCACAAAACTAGATAGAACTGAAGCTGCCACACGTCACTATGCATAATAAGGATCACCACCATGAATCACAGTGCCACCAAAATAGCCACAGATGCACGCACACAGCATGTATTTATGTATAGTATGTATATATATATTATATATATTTGTATTTATATATTTCATCCGTGATGATAGACAAAACAGAAAGCACAAAATAGACGGCTCATCATCATGCATCGCTGCTAAGCACTTGATGACCACACATCACCATTGACCACCACGAATGCCAAGAACCGCTGCAGGCCACACGTACGAGCTTGACTTGATTGAGTGAAGATCCAGGAAGGTGCACTAACCCTTTATCATTCATACTGTGGAAAAACGGCCCTGTGCGAACAGTAGGTTCAGGAATCCAAAACAATACGGTATGTTTAAAATCACAGATCTGAAAGTCCCAGGTACACCGGAGTGATCAATTCAAGCTTCCACCATTACGCATGGCTTCGTTGGCATGTGTAATGGCCACATGCCCCCTGTGTGCATGTCGAATTGAATGAGACCTTTAGAGATTAGAGAGAGGGTGGGACACACGCACACACCGGGAAATGGACGAGTCCACTCGAAGCCAGAATCGCTTGCTTTGGTCCCCACTGTTCTCAATGAAGCTGGAATAGGTACTGGAATCCGGGTGCCGCAGATAAAACAAGCCGTGGTTGCTTTTGTAGGTGGATTTGGAACCGCTGAACCTTCTTGGAGCTTGCCTGATCCTTGCAGCGTGCTTGTTCTATTCTCTTGGAAGCTCCGGAGCCTCGAAGCTGGTGATCCGATGGTCGAACCAGATTAGGCATCCGAAGATCTTCCTCAGGTTGCATGGCCCAAAAACCTTGTGTACTGTATGATGACTGTATGTCCATTTTGCATTCTTTTCATGCCAGTATGTTACTCCCAGGTGGAAGCCCAGACGTGCACCCGGCCTGCCTTCGGATATGTGGACCTCCTGCTCCTTCCTTTCCGAACAATTTTTGCTCGATGTGCCAACGACGCACAAGTGAGCATGCCTTTGGCAGAACATCTTTGCAATGGCCCATTGCAGGAGCAACAGCTTGAGCTGCATGGTGAAAAGATGCTTCTCACCCTCAGCCCGCTCCCAAACCTATTTGCATTAGAGTTTTCTCGTTGTCAGGTGGAAACCAAGAAAACGGAGCTTCGAGAGCTGGTTGGCGACCACTACCGCAGCGTGCTGGAGAGTTCTGACCACATCAGGGCCATGTCTGATTGCAGCTTGGGCACAAAGCAGAGAATTCTCAGACGAGGTGATCGTTTGTGATAGTGTCGTGATGTGAACTGATGGGAAGGGAGAGAGGAGCCAGGCAAGGCATGGACGCATGGAGACAGTGGCTTGCTTGAGTTGCAGGTGCCGTGCAGGTCGCCGAAGGCGCTGAGAAGCTTGAGTCTTTGATTGGCACAATGTGCTGCACTAAGCTCATTTGTTTGCATTTTATTGCAGTGTGCCCTTGTTTTGATGTTGCGCATCTCTTCGTTACACCGAGTGCACTTCTTGGCATGCAACCTGATCTGCCAAGGCGCGAGCTGGCGGCCAAACCGCCTGAGCTGCGTCTAGGCTCCGAATGGGCATCAGCTCAGACATGGCACGCCTATCTACACACCATCTTGGCCTCTGCATGCAGACAAATAGTTATTCCATTCCATGTTATTCCCACTTGGTGCTTAGACTCAAAAGGTGGTAGCTTGAGCTCCTATATAATTGTTTAGCCAATTTTGAGAAATAATTGAGACTGTTAGCTCAGAAAAGGTTGGGCAATCTTTTGACATATTTTTGATTAATCTATGCCTATGGCACGTTCACCAGTATAAATTGCTGGGGTCCATGAGGGCCAAAGGGGTCCTTTCCACGGTTGTGAAACATATGTGGCTCACTGGCTCACACACTGGGGGGAGAGACAGAGAGAGAGAGAGAGAGAAGAGAGAAGAGAGAAGAGAGAAGAGAGAGAGAGAGAGAAAGAGAGAGAAGAGAGAGAGAAGAG